CTAAAATTTTAGTGCCCCTTTGGCAGTTTTAATACCTAAAGGTTGGCCTAAGTACAGCGTGTAAAGGCGTGTGAGGTGGCTTAACACATTTGTTTTTTTTTCCCTGTGCCATTGGGAAAATCGCTCTATGTCCTGCTCCCACTCCTTCTCTCACTTTCTGCTGACTCTCTTTTCAATCGGTCGATTTGACGTCGCTGACTCGCCAAAGTCCTCCCGGCTGACAGGGCGGCCGTTGCGTGCGTCGCTCCGCCGCTCATCTGCCCGCCCGCCCGGCCCTCGTAACGACCACAACAGAACAGGCCCTCGACGTCGCGGAAGCGCTGCTTGCTGGCGACCGAGTGCGATGGAAATCGTTCAAGAGTTTTGGCGAGGGATTGGAAGGGGTCGCGGGAGTCATTGCGTTACACAACACGGTCCGACATAAGCTGATTTCAGTGAGGCGGGTGTTGTTTGACGTGGAAAGTATGTGGCTGATCGAAACCCCAATGGGCTTTAGTCTCCCTAACTTCAGTCCACACAGAACATACTGCAAATCTACGGTTTTAATTTCAAAATGATAGGAAGTATGGCTTGAGTTTAGTGCATGATTGTATTACTGCACGAGATTCTACATGTAATGGTTTAGTGTGTGAACGCCGTCCGCTACTCTAGACCCAAATCTGACAGATTTGACAGAAGGCGGGATCGCAGCTTCGCGCGCTTTTGTGTCGGCAGCGCCCTGAGGCAATTGCTCCCGGGCGGAGGTGTGGTGGGGCTGGGTGGGGCATGGTGGGTCATGGTGCGGCGTCGTTTTCCCAGGTGGACGCGTCCACATTCTTTGGCCGACTGCCAGGATGTGTGTTCCGTGCGGTCAATGCGGCGCCGGCGGCTCCCGCCTCTTCCCCCCATGCCTCCTCCCTACCCCCCTTCTCCCCGGCCTTGCCCACTAAATTCGTGCACCAGACCCTTGCTGCCACGCCGTGACAACTCGCCGGAGTTCAACGACACTACACCAAAAAGAAGTAAATCATCTCTCGTGCTGGTAAAAGCCACCGTGGGTGTCTTGTGCCTCTTGCGCATACACTGCCGTATCGGTATTGGTTACCCACCACTGCAGTCCAATAACTCCCCGTGCCACCCAATGCTATCGATGCTTCGCCCCGATCCAAATACGGCAATAATAATTTTACTTCCTTGTCGAGATGCTGCTAGTTTTCTGTTTCAAAATTCATACAACACACTTAAATCACTGCTGCACATAGTGGTTTATTTGGCAAAAGAATTAAATTTTCAGCCTCCGAAAAGCACATTGTTATACTTTAGAAATACATGATCAATAGAGTGCTATCAATTTTTTCAATTAGTGCAGGCAAACCATAGTTTGCCCTTAACATGCTGAGCTATCTATGCCCATATTCGAAATATCGGCTATATTGTATTTAAATACTGGGGCCTTTCCCGGAAACAATAGATTATCGTCAAAGTATATTTTGAAGGGTGGTCTCATCGTTGGCCCGTCCTTAGCGAAGCTGCTTCTCCTCGTCCTTTGGCGTATCCTTGAGGTTCTCCGCGTCCTTTCACCCAAATATTAGAATGGGGTGATAAACATCCTTCCAGCCGGAGGTGGGCCCCGGCCAGGCGGCGCGGTATCGCGGCACGACTGCAAGGTGGGCCTTACGCAAGCGAAATCATTCGGAATGTGTTTACTCTCTCACACCTTCCTCGCCGATCCTCCGCCCATCTGCGTCCGTCATCGGTAGTTTGGTCTCTAACTCAAAATACTACAAAAGAGTTCTGCAAAAGCACACTGCCAGTGTAACATAAACTTCAGTGTACTGAAATATAATTTGTCCCACACTGAGCTGCTGTGGGTGAACGGGCCGGGCGGGGAGCCCCCGTGGCGAAAACAGAACATTAACGCCCCGTCCAGCTAATTGACGGTGAAATTGCGACTCGTCCCACCGGCCGCGCCGCAAGAGCTGCAGCAACGGGCGCCACCCTCACATGGAGGTAACGGGGCCACCTCAGACAAACTTACACGTTAAGAGGGAAACAGTGGAACAAATTAGAATACGCGCCTGCCTTAAACAATGCAAACATTCCAGGTGATTAGGTTGTAAAAAAAAAGCATTTTTTTTTTAAAGAAAAGAAATGTTTGCTGAGTATTAAAAAACCTTTTTCTACTGTACGGTGTGTCACTGTTTTTCTGCGTTCTCGAAAGTGTTGGGGGTTTGAATACCATCTCCACCCGTAATGTTTGTTATTGCCGGTCATGGCAACACAGTAGTGCGAATTTGCGTGCTAGTTAGGACTATCGGCCACACTCGTCAGCATCGTTCTATATAACATTTGCTCATGTGCAGGTTTTAAAACTTAGTAGGGCAGAGATTTCGTTTTAGCCGACAGGAGTTTCACGCGGTGTGCATTGAATAACGCGCACACCGATGCTGATAGGAGGAAGTGGTGTTGTCCGGTGTAAATCTTCGCCTCCTTTTACGATTGGGTGCACACGGTGGCAAAAGCTGCCCTGCCGCCGAAATGTGGCTGCCGTCGACGTCAGCAGCGGCGGCGGGTCCGTAATGCTGCCGCGCCGGGTCCCCCGCGCCGCCACAGGGAGCCGCCGGGACGAGGCCCTTACTAAAGGAGACGTCGCTAGATACGTACGTGCGATTCGAGTACGTCGGCCGGATTAGAATAATTGCACTAGAAGCATAAGCATGCCCGGCTCTTCCCACCCGAAGCAGCCACTTGTCTGGCTTACACACTCATAGTAGTGCTTGGTTGCAGTAAAGGGCGACGCGAGCATGTCTTACGTTACGAAACGTGCAGACACGTACGTTTCCTGGCATGCCCTACTTCACTACGTGTCGTACTGCTGTGTGTTACAGTCTTCAGTTACCGGTGTATTTACACGGACAAATTATCGTTTGATTGCCTTTGCTGCACCGTGTGGCGCGGGCGGCTCACAGGAGGTCACGACACGGAGCGTCCCCGAGCAAAGAAAGAGGGACCGCCCTTGCACGCCGTTGCGACCCACAACCTATTAACCCGGGGACCGCGCGGCGGGGGTGGGCGTCTCTCATGGGACCGTGCCGTGCCGCTGTTTGGCCCCAGGTGCGGTGCCCCAGGTGGTGCCCCAGGTGGTGCCCTCTGTGCCTTGCCCCAACGGCATCACGATCTTGTAGAGCATACCGCGGGGAATCAAATCTTGCCCAACAAGTGCCCCAAAGTGCTGCACATGCTCACGACGGCGACGCTCCGCACGACGGCGAGTAAGCTCCCGTGTCGACCCCCGTGCCGTCCGAGTTGGAGGAGTCCGTCCAAGAAGAAAGTAACTCACTGTTAAAAATTTCTTGGGATTTCCCGAAGATTCACTTTCCACCACTATTAGAAATTCCCAGAGGACTCCGTTCTAGGTTTTTGTGTACTAAAACAGATTTTAAAGGTGGAAGTTTTCATTCGTCTATATGTTTTACAGCTAAACTCGACACGTGAAATCTACAGAGTTCTTTGGGAAATCCCAAAGGACTTTGGCAATACTTTTCACGAGTGTTCCTCCGTGAAATCCCAGGATTTTTTCTAACAGTGCTTCGTCAGTGTCTTACCGTACCATCTTTTCCATGTCTGATCATTTAGTTTTCAGTTTTAGATTCAAAAGGAAAAACACAGCTGCTATCTTTTTCACTTGATAACAGTCGGTTCATTTATATTGCATCAACGATTCATTAGGTCGAAAGCAAAACTGTTGTACTGCATTAGTGTAGTCCAACTAAAGGACATGTCCTCGTTGAGCTCGCACATCGTCCTGCCGTATCGAGTGCAGCGCAGGTCAGTGTGCCCTATACTGCACCGCTGCGTGCCCTATGACAGGTGGTCTGCCTAGGCACCGCCAGGCCAGGCGTTGCCCTCTGTGCAACCTGGCGGCGGCGGCGGCAGCGCGGGCGGGGCGGGCGGGGCGTTCCCACGATTAGCCTCGGGGCGGGCAGAGCGCCTCCTCGCGCTCTCGTTTGTTTTAGCCGGGGGTGACTGTCACTGGGTCAGTGGGCCCGCCGCTGCCCCGCCGCTGCCCCGCTACTGCCCCGCCGCTAGTCTGCATTAGCGCGGTGCCTATTGCGGCGCTTAGCAGCCCAGTGGCGCGGGTCCGCGTCGAGGCGGGGGCGCGGCTGGACTAGCGGCTCGCTCCTCGCGACCACGGAATGTCGGCAAAGCATGCCTGTCAAAACAAACGTTCTCTTAGGTCATGTTTGAGGCCGGGTGATGTGATTTTCTCGTCTCACGTAGCGTTCGATATAAACGGCGAACAAATCAAAACGGGAGTCGCGCACCTGGAGAGAGGCGTCCGAAGCGGCTCCCGCCGTGCCCCCCCCCCGGGTCGGACGCACTCGTCTTGAAACTCTGTGATCGCCTGGTTACGGGTGAAGGACGCAGTGCATCAAGAGGAGTGGCGGCGGGACTGATGCGCAAGCTTCCCACCCCCCGGTCAGATAGGAATTTGACATTTGCATGTGTCAGAAAGTAGTGACGGGCACATTGTGATCTAGCCCGAGTTGTCAAGTCGAAATCGTAAAACAGCTCTCTGGGCTGACGTTAGGTATATGCATTCCTGCCAAACGCGCATGTCACCGAAATCAGTTTTAAGGTTCTTTTACCAAATTTCGGGGCGTTTTTGCGATTCTTGTGCTGTAGGGCATAATAACTTTTCATTTTGCAATAAAACGGTATCCCTTATATTTGCAATTATTTTTCCCTATACTTTTTGATGCAAATATGACGCAATGAAAAGTTATCGTGCCCTTTAACATGAGAATGGCAATTAGTCATGTCAAGTTTTGCGTTAAAAGTATCAAAAAGTATCGCAAAACCAGCCTCTATGGTGTTGAGGGCTGCTCCTTCGTCCCGATTACGGTGCCGTCTGAAGTGTTGGCCCATGTCGTAGACTTAAAACAGTAACTTTCATCAACCGCTTTTTTGTTCGCAGTGTGGGAGGAGCTTCGTGCGCCGAAGCAGCGATGCAAGAGGAGGAGGATAGCTCTTCGTAGAGAAGAGGGAGAGCTGCACAAAAGAGTTTGCCAAAGTTCAGCGCGGACCAAAAACGACCCATAAAAAGAAGAGTGGGTGAGTGGTTGGGTTGGCGAGGTGCCTCGTGCGGCCAGTGTTGTGCTCGTACTCGTCACGTCGCGGTCAAGGAACCTTATAAGGGGGGAGCCTGAAATACTGTGCATTCGTCGCTCACTTCTTAAACGGCTAGAAGTAAGAAGTCCGTCTGTTCCGAAATTCTGTCGTTTGCTCAGTTGTCAGTGGTTGAAGAAAACCGTTCTTCTAACCAGACAGTTGAAAAAAAATGTTACAAATGTTCTGTAATGATTTACTTTGATACTGGCACATTTAATGTAAGTTAATTCTACAGACCAAAACTTTGATTCAGCATTCCGTAAAAGCGCATACGCTTACTGTTATTACCCTAGTGTGCCGCGAGACAGCACTGAGAGCAAAGTTGCTATAACACCTCTGAAACGTGCTACAACATTAATGCCTATGTAAAGGCACAACGTGCTGAAAATAGCACATTTAGGGACCAGTACTGCATTGGTCAAGGCACTAATTCACTAACTTTTAAACCACTAATTTTAAAGGGCTTTACATAGAACCTTCTCTGTTTTTCGGGTGAGTGTGCCAAGGCACCTGTCCTCAACAGAGTACTGAGCAGAGGCTGAACCGGGCTGAACGGACGCGGTCCACAGTTGACCTTAGTCTTTTTAAGTCACTAAAAAACTAGGAGATCGTGCCACGTTGTGACTTCCTGCAACAAAATTACCTTTAGCGGCGCTCATCTCTGGTGGCACGGTACTCGACGGAGCTGTCCGCTAACCTTGACGTATGGAGTTAGAGTTTAGAGTAGTTTAACTACTGGAACGAGTTTACCGTCACCTAGGCTACTGTGCTCTATGAGATATTTCTACGTTTGACATTCAGCGGACACCATTTTAGTCTCTAAAAATGGACTTGAGCTCTTGCGACCTCGAGTGCCGAGCGAGGTAATGCCGAGCTGCTTTGGGCGTTTTAGGAAATGCGATCACCCAGTTCGATAGCGCGGTGGCGGAGGGCGCAGCGTAGCGAAATTGTGGTGATGGGAATCGGGCTGCTAGCAACAACGGCGAAGGAAGAGCAGCGAGCTGCTTTTGAGAAGCGCGCAAAACTGGGACCGCCTGCTGGGACGGGCTGTGATAAATCTTTCGATACGATCAGGCGACTCACTGGAGGCAGTTCTCTACTCCACCCCTCCAGATGATCAGGCCGGCCCCGGCTGATCGTTTAAATTACCTGCAGATACCTAAACCCCCCCAAAATCAAACAAATAGTTCGGTAGGTGAGCGGTCAAATCTTTATTCGCTGGGAGGTTACATTCTACGTGATTATTGGATTGCATGAAATTACAATATTTTCTAATCTTTGCGAGGGGTGCTGAACTGTGGTAATCAGGTGTACACAGAGTTGGTAATCACTGGTATTTAAACACTCTTGAGGGTCCTTTCAAAGGACAAATTTGTTGATTGAGACATGCATTTTTGTGCACATCTTGTCTAAATGCAAACGCTCATGTTTAATATGACGTATATTTGCATCTCTCCCATGACAAAAAACATAATTTGTCCAATCATAGAATGCAAGTTTGTAACTTGCAAGGTAAAGAATTAAGAATTACCAAAATGTGCATCTTTCTCGAGACAAAAAATTGTTGTTTCGATTTAGAATGCAGGCGAATTATACCTAGTACTCATTAGTAATCTTTGGTAATCATTGGTAATCCTTGGTAATCTTTACAATTTGGTAATCCGGTGTACACATTTTCATAGAGTTGGGCACGCTGGGACAAAAGTTTTGCCGTTGGTCACAACGTCCAGGTGGAACTGATAGGGAAATAGTGTATTAATTCAGAAACACCAGTGCCTCTCATTACCTAATGTTGAACACTGAGTGCCTCACATAAAAAGCCTCCCGGCCTCTTGCGGGTGCCTCGCATTAGCTAATGTGAGCCACTGCACGTTCTACATTAGGTAATGTGAGGCACCATACGACTCACATTAGCTGAACTATTAGCAGTCTCAGATTTCATTTAACAGCGTACTGACGGACTCGGCCTATTTAGAAAACTGGGATCTATTCTTTCTTTTAAAAAAGGATTATTTTCAGATTGTTGGTTTTATTTGGCGTGGGATTCGCTTAAAGCTTCTCCTGCTAACGTTATAGTAGCACGGGCAACACACGCACACACTCACACTCACCTTTCACCAATGCCTGACAATGGGTGCCAGAACGACGCATCACGGCATAACGGCGGCATTAGCGCCATGTTGGCCGACGGAAATCATCCCTCTTCGTCGAGCAGAGCTGGGCCAAGGGACAGAATGACCCTTTGCATATATCCCACTGTCAAGGCTATTTATAGCACTCGCAACTTTTTTTGTGTGCTAAGTGAATGTGAGGCAAGCAAGTGTGCTGTAACATCTTTCTTTAAGTCGAGCCAAGCTGGGCCAGGTCCAGAAACAGAGCCTAACAAAGTCAAGAACGATTCGTTGTAGATTTAAATAAGTAGCTCAAAACTCCTACCATGAATGGGACACGCTGTCCGTGTGTCATGGCTACGTCACCATAGTGTTTTGCTGGTTTGCATACCCTAGGAGTTATATTATAGGTGGAGCGAGTAGGCAACCACACCCCAAAAACGCCGGCTTGGTTTTCAAGCAGTTCGGGTAAAAACAAGACGCTCCCGTGTATTTTCTCCATAAGAGGTGCTCGGCTGCTTGAAAACCAAGACGTCGTTTTATCCTTGCATTGTCGTGGCCCTGCCACACGGTACACTTGACTAACATATTTCGCTCCTACCCAAATTGTACATTGCTACTTTTAAAGCTCAATACTGCTTTTCCACCATACATGTGTTGAATTGCAGTTCTGAAGCCAGTCTTCAGTAAATTATTGAGATATAGAGCTGGAACAAAAATTATGGAGTTTTACGACAAATTTTCCTTGAGGCGGGATGGGCGCGATGGTGTGCGCTTACACAACCCGGACCGCCCATCGCGCACGCCGTGGTCCCGCCGCGTTCACGGAAGCCGATCGTAAAGTTTTGTTGTTAAAAATAGAAATGGCGGCGCTCGGGTCCCATAATGACGGACTATTTACATCTCTGAGGGACTAGGATCGTCGGGGCGCAAACAAAAGGAGAGGTGGCCGCTTCCGGAGGAAAGCTTCCCCAAAGATGGTGCGAGGCTATGGGCGGAAGCCAGGCAGAGTTGGCTGCTGTTTTTAAGGCGGTGGAGGCTTTTCTCGACATTATTTCACATTATTTTAGCGATGAGTGTTTTAGCGTTAGGTATTGAACTCGGTCATCACTATGAAGATGTTGGCGGGCAACGACACCTACGTTTTGCGTCTCGAGACGCCAAAATCTGACGTCCTATGCGAAAAAACACAGTTTTGGCGACACAGTTTTTAGAATATCGATGAAGATGAACCACGGCTGATACATCTTCAGTCGCGTCTGCTTTACGTCCGCTTTACGTGTCACGAGGTCACGCGGCAAAATCCCATGACACCTCATCTCCCTCCCTCCCTCCGTCTCTCTCTCTCTCTCTCTCTCTCTCTCTCTCTCTCTCTCTCTCTCTGTCCCCCTCTGCGCGCTATTGCACTGGTGCCCTGGATTTCGGCAAAACAACCCGCGCCCTCCCCATTAGTCTTGCCCTGTCTCCAACTGCATCGAATCACCGCTCGACATTTAGCTAGTCGCTATAGAGTGCTTTAACAAAGGGGCAGGCTCGGCTCGGTGCTGTTGATGGTCGGTCACCTTTGACGTAATGCGGAAATCATTATCACAATATGCTCCTGGATCAACACCGATAAAAACCCTTTTATGCGTTTCCTTACTTGTAAATATTTAATTTAGAAATATTGCTCTCGCGTGGATTCATTCGTTGATACATTTTGCGTGGAATAAAGGCGCTCCAACTTGATATCCTAAGCCTACCTGACCAGTCGTGCACTCTTAAAAACTTTCAGTCAATTTCGCCGTAAGTTACCGTACATCATACGGCGCTGCCTGAGTGCTGAAAAAGTACGCTGAAAACTCACTGTTGACAGACTGGTACAGTTGCTACTGGACAGACTAGCTGACGCTGCAGTTGTTCATCGTCGGCTTTTATTGGCGTGGTATCACTATTCTCAACGCTGATTGGCCGCCACCTACTCTACTCTCGCTAGACACGAGAAGCCATCTGGCAAACGGTTTCGTCACTAGCGCTTAATTATATCCAGGTCAGCCCGGCGGATCCCGGCAGCACGCGACCCGCACGCGCGAGCGCACGCGTGTGAGTGTCTCCCCGGATATTATTTATCGCGTCCGACGTTTCCCAACGCGCCGCGCCACAGGGCCGCGCTGGCGCCAAGGGATCCAGTGGAAGACGGGCTGTGATTTAAGGCCCCTTGTTCCACCCATTTGTTCTCTCAAAGGGAACACGTATGTGTGGCAGAATACCGATGGCTGTAGGTTCCCTTTCCTGGACAAATTACCTCGGTGAAATACAGTGTAATTGCAGTTAACACAACTGATAATCTCTGTTGAGCTGCAAGATTTTCTTTTTCTCCAGTTGACTTGTGGAGACATTTTAATTTGGAGCAAGTGTGTGTAAAACAGGTGCGCTGTGGGCTAGACGTCTCCCTGAATATTCTCACGGAAGAAAATATGCAAAACGATCGCGTCGACGCCACAAACATCCCAACTCTCTGGTACAGGCTGCAGAGGAGGGACTCCTCCCCCCCCCTCTCTCTAACACACACACACACACACACACACAACACGGTAGGCTCGACACGCGCCAAACAGGTTTGGAAAGTGCAGCCCTGTTTCTGATTGATTATCGCTCACAATACTGCGGAGCCATGGCGGGCTGACGAGCGCGCCAGACGACAGAGATCCTCCCTTGCTGCCACCCCCCTCCGCCGCCCCCCCAATCTCACCTCCCATACCTGCCCTAATTTTTGAGGAGCACGACATGGATATGCTTAATTTAATTGACGTACAGGCATCGTATTCAATACAGTCAGTGGCCCATATTTCGGACATGAGCCCTAATTTCGGACAAAATTGAGTCTTTGGCTTTAGGCGACCGTAAATCCGATAGTTTT